TGTCCCTTTAGTAAGATGTCATTGCGGGCTATAAAGTGTGTACAGCATTGTACTGCAAAAAGTTTTTCCATGTTTTTGCTGTCTGGTTAATGCACTAATAAGTTGTGGGATCTCTTGTGCATTGTGCTTAATAAATGGTTTCACATAAGGAAAACTCTAAAGGTGCCATGAAGATGTTATTTTTAATATTTAGATTGTTCAATATTTTTAGACAGAAAACTATGTATTTTAATACTTTCCTAAATTTGTAATATGGGTGGTGATGGAGCAGTGGATAAGACACATTCCTTTGGTGTGAGATACCCAGGTTCAAATCCGCTGTTAGACACCATTGTGTCCCTAAGCAAAATACTTTACTCTAGGCATGCAACCTCTTTTATTTATTTATATGTATATATACTGTATATAATTGTCAGTCGCTTTGGATAAAAGCGTGAGATGCTTTCATTCAAATTTTGAGTCAGGGTTTGCCTTTTAAAAACCATGTCTCAAAGTTTAGGTTAGGAACTTTATTGTTCACATTGTGGAAAATTGTATTGGCTTCACAACCATACTGTAAAGCTGATGAGGGGAAAACCCTGGAACACAATATTGCAAAAAAGTAATTAATAAATCCAGTAAAAAAATTTAATGAAAACAGAAGAAAGGCTAGATGTTTGTGAAATTCTAAGCTGTTTGCATGTCTGTTCAATGGGGCATCACTTTGCATTTTCACCTTGTGTCTCACAGTAGGATTTCAATATTTGAGACGGAAAAAGATGATTGCACAAACCTGCCGCTAGCTGGCTCCATTTTCCTCCCTCTGCTTGTCTTCTATGGGTGTTCGCTTGCAGCACAGGCCTCAGAGAGGCCATAGAGAGGAACCACAGGCCTGTTGGGAACTCAAGGTTGAGTTGAGGGTGAAGCGGGGGAGATAGGAGGGGGGTGATGTGATGAAACACTGAAACAGGAAGTCAAGCACGCAGCAGGAAGAGGCGTTCTCACACTACTTTATAGGCTAAATTTACTGACACGCAGCAGGGATGAAAACATGTTATTTCCTGTGAGCATAATATCTTAAAGGTTTATGCTTAAAGACAGTAGCTGTTTACACTGCAAAATACAATTAGCGATCAAATCTTGTCAGTGAGAGGTAATTAAAGCAACTGCCAAATTGACTTGAAATGTCTCACCTCACACTCATTAGAATATATGACGCTCAGTGGCACACCGTTGCATCACATCAGTTCACTGTTATGGGTTATTTATGTTCCGCAATTATGTTTTTACCAAAGCATCTTTTTAATGAATGTTAAAGTTAGGGTCACGGTGCAAAATTGTAGCAGAATTGCTTGAGTACAGAACTTTACTAAAATTGAATATGATATTTTAATGCCCTTTACTCTGGCTTGGTGTGTGTGCTGCCTTTTAGTCTTTTGACCTCTGGCAGAATTCTTGAGCTGTGTTTAAATAGCAAGGTTTTGTTTGTAGCTTGCAGATATATGCAACAAACACACTAATAATGTAAAAAATTTTGCTGACTGCAGAGTGCACAAACAGTCAGGGGCAGTAAACCACCTTGATGGTACAATACAGTGGTACCAAACACAGGAGCAGAAGAAGAGTGCAAGCTGGTTTAAAGTTCCCCTCCAAAATGTGGTGTGCTTATTGTTCAGTTGGATGTTTGACCTGCACTTTGCAGAATGATGTGCAGAGTTTGACAGTAGAAAGTTTTCACATTCATCTGCTGCTAGTTTGGAAAACAAATTTCTGCTTTCATATGTGTCCCCAGAGTTCAAAAGAAGTCTGCTGGCTGCAGGGCCTTTTTCTATTGTGCCCCTGTTCTCTGAAATAATCTTCCTGCTGACATCAGGAAGTCGGACTCTGCTGAGGCCTATAAATCGGTTGAAGATACTAGAAGACTTTTGTCCCTCATCCAAGAGACTTCTTCAGTCTACAACGAGGAGCACTAACGAACCAGCATATCAATCTTGGCAAACGATTCCACAGATGTTAAATATCTCAGTTTCCCTACCAGTCAGTCAGAACTGAAGTCGCTTGGATGAGGGACAAAAAGTCTTTTAATATCTTCAACTAAGTCCGGTTATCCCTCAGCCTCGTACCTGTTACTACTTTACATCAGGCAGATCGGTCTCAGTCTGAATTGCTCGATTAACAAGTTAGTCTTAACGAATAGTCAATGTTCATCCTGCCAACGAGAACTCAACCAACAGACACAAACTATTTGAAACTGACTTCATGTTTCTAACCCTCTGCTGCATTGGTTTCTGAAAGCTTGGCAGCTTATAGGGGACTATCTCTCCCTAACCTTCCCCTCTCATGCACTTCTGCACATCTGCCTTCCTGGTACCTTCCTGTGGTTGTTGGTGCCTTATCAAGTCCTTCATCTGGATTTTCGTCTTTCCCCTTCTCTCTGTTGTCATGCACGTTATCATGGCTCTCTCCCTCTGTGTTTGATTTTCCACTCTGTGTGAATAGTGTTGTCCTCTTCTGTGTTTGTGTGCCCTCCTGTTTCGTGGCCTGTACCAGGAAACATGATTTGAGCACAACTGGATGACTTTGGGGTTAACCCTGGGTTTTCTGTACCGCAACGTTGGTTCTCTTCTTACCGGGGTAGATCACCAACTTATGTTGAACGTTCCAGATAAGAGATGAAGTCTATAAAAATGCCACCCACTGACCAATCAGCTCTCTTTGAAAATATCATCACCATCTTTAGACTGTAGACTTTAGCATTGTCATCCTACAGACACTGATTAAAAGCCTAAAGCTATTGTACATGTTTTTACAGTAGCCTAAGCCTACTAACTGCTTTACAATGTGTTTTATATTTTTTATTTGCTCCCTAGTCCGTTTCACACAGCCTGTCGCAGCAGTAAAATAAATGGGTTTAATTTTTCTTATGTGAGGATGAATATTATGAGCAGTTTGGTAGGGATATAGAAATAAATTTTAAAATGAACGTAGGCAATTTTTTAGGTTAGCTTAAATGCTACTACAGAGACTGTAGTCATGTTCTGCCCCACCTTTTGCGATGTGGGCGCAGGTAATGGTGTTTTCAGTAACCTAAATGTTGAGATTCAGTCTCTCAGCCACTATTTGAGCACCTTTTATGGCATGAATGGATTTTTCGTTTCATTGCTTTATGAAGTAAATTCAGGAAAATGTTTGGAACAGTTTTGTGTGTGTTCAATGAACTAATCTCATTCTCAAGTGACGAAGTTCTTAAAAGTGAGGTGGAACGACCACTTATTCAGTGCCCGAGTCTTTTAATGTGGAAACGCCGACACACAGCCGAGCTGAAAGAATAAGGCTGGTGTTTTCATAAACGACATCAGAACACACCAAATCAACGCATTATTATAGACTATGCCTGTTCATTTAGGCATTTACACTTTCTGTATGTTTCAGCTACAGCAGTGCTACTTAGGCACCGTCCACACTTCATTTTAAAACGGAGACCTTTTGCTACGTTGTCATCTCCCGTCCAGACTAAAACAGCGAAAACGAAGACCAAAAGAGAAGTTTGAAAACGTTGCCGACCCCGTTTTTAGTTTTGAAACTCCGGAGAGCGGTTTAGTGAAGATGGGCTCACATTTGACTCTCTGATTGGGTCTCATAAGTCATGTAAAGTTGAAACACAATTCTACTGACAGTGTTTTTTACAGTGTATCTTTATTAAAATATTTTGTACTGTGCAAACACTTATAGCCTACACTTGTACCATGCTGTATTTACTTTGTGACGACTCCCAGATTGTTTTCTGCGGGCACTCCTTTTAACTCCCGTGTTACGTTCAGTAACAGTCCCAGCACGTACTTTATTCTTTCACCAAATCTTCTGTAAGTACGGAATAGACCATCTGCTTCATGTTTACACTGGCACGGCATGCCCAGCGTACGTGAACGGCCACTAGATGTGCATTTTCAGTCATTTTAGTATAGATGGAGATCAACTCTGATACGCAGCTAAAACGGTGGTATGGATGGAGATCGTATTCATTTTACTTCTCAGTTTTTAAACTAAAACGGAGTAGTGTAGATGGGGCCTTAAATTAGGTTGTATTTCTGTAGGCTAGTGTTAAAGTTTAGGTCTACTCAACGTTTGTAAAATATGACGCTCTGCTTCCAGTGGACTTGTTCATGTCTGCAATTGGAACGCGCTCATGGCTGGATCGGGAAACCCTGTGTTGACTTACCAAGTTGAGAACCAGCTTTGTGGGACCGCTTATCCAGATTGTGATTGTTAGGGTTAGTGAAGCCAGATAACGAAAAGATATCCTAGGTATGTTGAACTCGCTTCGTGGTACAGGCCCGAGGTTTCTATGGATGTGTGGCTCAGATCCTTTGTCATCTGAAGCTGCTCATTTGTCCTCTTCACATATGTTTTACAATCTAAATTTTGTCATCTTAACTGTATACACTACAACTTTCTGTTCCCCTTGAGGCAAACTATGGGCTATATAGCCTAAATAAAACTGACTGATGTGAATAGATTTCTAACTCACACTTTTAATTGTTTAATTGTTTGCAATGTGCATTTTGGACCTGATACACACTGAAATATAGTCATGTTATCCCTTTGACATACTGTTGATATGTTAACTTAATGTCTGAAAAAAAAACATATTTTACCTGGTTTAAACATAAATATTTTTAATGCAACATCAAGAACAAGGTGTCACCTACTGTATGTTCACAGTATATGATAATTTCTCAAATGAAGAAGACCAGAGGAAGCCGCACACAACATGTGTTAGTTTGATAACACCAGATTTCTAAACTTGTATCTGTAATCTTAAAATAAACCACAAAGGTGGTGTGTGTGAAGTGCTTCACCCTTCAAGAAGCACATACAAGCATGTGAACTGAGCATATAAACATACTCACATAGAGACAGTGAATATGAGGAAGTGAGGTGTGGTCTGATGGTTTCAGGGTGCGTTCAACTGAAAACACAGCTGTCTAATTTGATCCTTAAACCCAAAACAGGATCCAGTCTTATATGTCAACACACACCTGAATACTTTTTATTAAATAATTATTTCATGAGAACATAAACACAGTACTTACAATGAGCTACAACACTTCTTTCATATACTACAGTGTACACATTGCAAATAAAGCAGGAATGCATATTGCACTTATTGCACTGTGCTGTAAAGGTAGGTAGGACATTAAACAATTCTTGGCTTGGTCTGATTAGAACAAATGTTCTATATCACTCTATAAAGTAGTAGAAATTTTACAACAACAAAAATCCTGCAATTGTTTAACAATATATATATTTATAAAATGAAGCATTAACAACTGTGGTCAGATGACAATAGCACATGGATGTCTTTTTTAAAAAAAAGCTATTTACTGTTTCTTTACTTGTAAATGTCTATTTTTGATCCTTATGAAAACTTAGGAAGCTGAGAAACATCTTGCCTTTTATAGTATACATAGAAGTGCTGGGACATCACATGCTTAATTTGTCTTCCTGATTCCAGAAAAATCTTGACAAAAAAAAAAAAAAAAAGTCTGTAAACAAAAGCACAAATTTACACACACAGCTCAGTGCACAACATGTGCTGACATAGATTCAGCTTCGTCCAAAACCGTTTTGTCGACAATTTCTTTGTGGCTTGTCAGGCTGACAGTGAGAGCAACAAAAATGAGTCAATGTTTTTCACCTTTGACACTGTTCTGTTCAGTCTGTAAAACAGGAAGTGGAAAGAGAAGTCCCTCTTTTAGACCAAACGACCCCTGTCAGTGTCTAGCCTCCAGTGTTATCACACAGTGGTGTTACAGGTTGTTGAGTTTAAAACAACTTTAGGGGGACAGAATCCCACTGTTGTGCAGTACCATAAATGTCCATAGAGGGCGCTGGACAGCTCAGTCCTGAGGAGCTTGATTTATCACCTTCCTCTTACGAACTGAGACCAAGTCGTAGAATGGATCCTTGGTGATACTCGCTCTGTTTGAAGTAAAGAAGATTTCATTATAGAGTGGCTCATGCAGCATTATTTGTGTGTGTAGGCTTGTAATGTTATCTTCTTAAGTTCAATTTTAAACCATTGTTTCTGCTTGTGTGTGGTCTGACCTGATGGCCTCGATCCACGAGTCTCTTTCCTCCGCGCTGGCAGCACAGATGGTGTAGGACTGGTGTTTCCCCTCCACCACTCTGCCGTCTGTCTCAGTTTTACACGCTTTGATCTTCTGCCCTCGGCTGTTGGGGTTATACAGCTCCAGACAGTACTAGACAACACCAGAAACACAGGATAATCAATCTGTAAAGCTATATATTGTCCTAATTTGAGTGCTATATCCACAGAACGTCCCCGATTCATTCATTCATCCATCCATCCATCCATCCATCCATCGTCAACCGCTTATCCTGTGTACAGGGTCGTGGGGGGCTGGAGCCAATCCCAGCTTACATCGGGCCAAAGGCGGGGTACACCCTGGACAGATCGGCAGTCCATCGCAGGTCCCCGATTCAGTACAATTTTATTTAAAATTTAGATGCTAGCATTGAAAGAAAACACAGCTGACAGTATCTCACCGGTTTGCGAGGATATGGTACTTCTCTCACACAAAGATTCTCTAGAGGGATGATGCCTCTGGGCTCTTTATCCTACAGACAGGTGAAAAAAGATGGAGTGAGTCAGACAATGTATGAGGAGGACAAGAGGGAAGAGCTGAGAGCAAAAATGTCATTGGCGTCAGAAAAGAAGGGAACCAACCAAATGAGGATGTGGTTATATTTTAGGCTTGTATTTTGCCTGTGACATCTGACAAACAAAGGCCTTCCATATACCCATGTACCTTCCAAAGAAATTCGTGATTCATGATCACAACCAGAACTTCTTAGTTGGGGATTCATTATTAAAAGAAAGCAATGACTACGGTGTTGAAGTTACTTGCTGTGATAGCCCTATCATATACCATGACCACCTCTCTAAGAAGATTTTCAGCACCTGCCTTTTAGAAATTACCTCAGCAAGTGACAGCAAGAAGTTATTTTAAGTGTTTGAACAAATGATGTCTTTATCTGGCTGGGGATTTTTTTTTTAATGATCAGAGGAATACTAGGGCTTGAAATACTAGCAGTGTTGGAGTCTTACAGTGGTGAACTCAAAGTAGTAGAGGCAGTTGTCAGTCAAGATGAACCATCGTCTCTTCCATGTCTTAACCCGTCCTCCTGAAATGCAGAGAAAGCAAAAAATAAGGACCTCTTCGTATTTATCAGTTCAGTTATTTGCTGTCCCGTCCATGTGAACTCACAAGCGTTAAAACACTGTAACTTCACACCAAGATGACGAAAATAAATACATTTTCTGAGGTTTTCTGTTTGAAGTTAAACTTCTGCATAACCTAACACCGATGCAATGTGGTTTACATGCAAACACATAGGGGTATACTCCACTATTAGCTCATTTTCTGACTGCTTCCTCTGTACTTTCCTGTATTAGCCTACTGTATCAGCTAAGTCAAATGTAATGTAGCACCACAGCACAGAGCATACTTAAACTTCCACTTATTTTGTATAGGAATTATGGTGTTTAAGTCTGTTACCTCCCAAAGTATTCATCTTTGTCATAACAGACTAAAATGGAGAGGTGTTTTACCAAGTTTGAGGAGCCAGCCTTCTCTGTCAGGGTTGAAGAACGTGTGGGTCAGATCATTCCCATCATCCTCTGGGATTTTGAAAGGCTCGTTGCGAATACTCTCATACAGTTTCTGAGTAGAAAAGAGTTGGATAGGTGTATTAAAAAAAAAAAAAAGCACTACAAAATTGCAACTATTTAATGTCTTGTACCATCTGCTTGTGAGCTAACGCCTAAATAGCAAAGGAAATTAAAGGCAAAAGTTGATTTGATGCAACAGTCTAAACATGTCCAAACAATGGGGATACAAATTGCTTCCTAAAATATTGCTGTCATCATTTACATATTATTCCATTCGCTCAAAATGAGACACCAAAACACAAATATGTCTGTGTGATTTCAGTAATAGGTGACGCAGAAGGTTTTGCATTGTATGGTCAATTGTTGCAGCTTTAAGTAATTCACATGCAACACTGTCAAATACCACATGTAGAGTCCAGTTGGTGGCGAGTGTCTGTATTAATTAGCTTTTGTCTTATCATCTTGTCTTTGATCTCACATGCATGACTTGGTTATCTAGCTGGCTTTAGTCCTTGTTAGGCTATTTCTCAACATGGTCTAGCTATCGGCGTGGTTCTTTTGAAAGCCTAGTAATTTTAATTGTGGTTGATAAACGAGGTGAAAAACCAGGGACTGATGCAGTGGAGGGTGAAGGACAAGTAAGTAATACTGATAACGTTTATCAGCCAGCAGCAGCTAATATTAGTGGGGAACAAGTGGCAGCAAGGAGGTAAAAAAAATCATTCATCTGCTTTTTGAGGTAACATGAAAAGTGGCCGTATGTTTGGTGTCTCTGTTCAACTTTTCTCTCCATGCCCTCATAAATGCATAATCTGTAAGTTATGTAAATGTTGTAGTTGTTGTTATTGTTATAATTAAGGTGTTTTTGAAAATGTTAGATTAAATTGAAAATGTTATTAAATAGGATTCTTATTATCATTAAAACAATTAAAATGATTGGTAACAAGAGATCACGACGACCTTTTCTGTCTGTCAAAATGAGGGACAACGAGAAAGTCTACTGAATCAGTTTTCAGAAAGAGTGGGACATTGATGTGTTCACACATCGGCCCACTGTCTAGGTCACGGTTAATCACCACCACCTTCTGTAGACTACTGTTGATTGTGACTAACTTGTGGATCAAAAGTGGCCCTGAGAACACTTGAACATTATTATGTATAAATGTTTCTGTTCCAGATGATGTGGTGATTGTGTTAACTATTATCTTTTCAAGGTAAGAAAGTACTGCATTTTTTACTGCATGCTTGGAAAATGAAAACTATGAAGTGAAACTGGCATTTTATGGGCTCCTAAATCAAGCAGGAGGATTCACTTGAATACCCCAAATAATTATATTCGCCATTCCTGGTATCACGACAATGTGAACACTAAGAAACGAAATATTGTGGGTTTTTTTCACAATGTCTCGCTTAATATTAGCCCAAGTGACTGCAAACAGCTCCCAAGTCAGTGACGCTGTTGGGTTCATACCCTCCAACTCTGAACAAAACCAGGAGATTCCTGAACTTAGGCTTTCAGGAGCTGATGTTAGTAAGACAGCTAATATGATAAAACATTTATGTTTATGAGACAGATTTAAAAAAGTGTAAACCTATCCTTTAAAAAGTGGACGGTGGACCTTGTATCATGTATTGCATCGAGCCACGGGCTGACTATAATAATCAAATTTCCAGAGGCACAAACTGATGGACAGTTTTCTTCCAGAACTTGGACTTTTGGCATTTGGGTTTTTACTTCCTGAAAAGTTTGGACACTGTGATTAGCCAGAGTCTCACCGAAAGCAGGTCATTAGGTAGATCCTCTCCGTTGTTGATGCCTCTGTTCATGGAGATGAAACGTCCAGAGTGGTCTTGTCCTTCACATTTGGTTGTGGAGGCTGGTGTTGAGCATGATGATAG